ATATATATATATATATATATATATATATATATATATATATATATATATATATATATATATATAGTCTAGCATATATATATAAAAGTCAAGCATAAGCAAATTAAATACAAAAATTTAACTTTTGTTTTTTTTGATCACACACTCTGCGACCCACTGAAAATGTTCCTGTGACCCACTTTTGGGTCACGACCCACCAAATGAAAAACAATGATCTAGACCAGGCGTGTCCAAACTACGGCCCGTGGGCCATCTGCGGCCCGCAATCAGTTTTTGGCGGCCCGCGAGGCTTTTTATAAATATCAATAGAATCTGGCCCGCTATACAAAAATAAACGTAATTCAATAAATAACCACCGGGTGTCGCTATTACATGCATTCAATTAAGCAGCAGTTCTTGATATGATCTATCTATCTATCTATCTATCTATCTATCTATCTATCTATCTATCTATCTATCTATCTATCTATCTATCTATCTATCTATCTATCTATCTATCTATCTATCTATCTATCTATCTATCTATCTATCTATCTATCTATCTATCTATCTATCTATCTATCTATCTATCTATCTAATATTTTTTCTTCTGGAGAAAGACTTATTTGTTGTATTTCGGCTAGAATAAAAGCGGTTTTAATTTTTTTATGAACCATATAAGGTCAAAATTATTAGCCCCTTAAGTCTTCAGAACAAACCATTGTAATAAAATAACTTGCCTAATTACCTTAACTTGTAACTTGATTAACCTAGTTAAGTCTTTAAATGTCACTTTAAGCTGTATAGAAGTGTCTTAAAAATATCTAGTCAAATATTATTTACTGTCATTATGGCAAAGATAAAATAAATCAGTTATTAGAAATGAGTTACTAAAACTAATATGTTTAGAAATGTGTGGAAAAAAATCTTCTCTCCGTTAAACAGAAATTGGGGAAAAAATAAACGGGGGCTAACAATTCTGACTTCAACTGTATATATATATATATATATATATATATATATATATATATATATATATATATATATATATATATATATATGCATGTCTGTGTGATGTGTGTAAAATTTGGCCCACGACAACGTTGTTTTTTTTGCATCTGGCCCTCGGCCCAAAAAGTTTGGACACCCCTGATCTAGACCATAGTCCTAAACTGACCCGCATGCGCAAAAGTACTATTACCGACCGCACAAAATGTCTAATTATGCACACAGTGTGTATACTGTATGAAGCACATTGTCAGATTATGCTTAATATAACTATTGCCCTTTACACAGACAAGCTTGGTGTATTTCATGAACTATAAAGGGTTGTTTTGCTACTACTAATGTGTATTTTGCCAAACCTAAAATAAGTCTCTTGTGATTGAAAACACTGGTAATTTGTGATTTATGACATTTTTTTCTAGCCACCGGTGTACTGAACAGCTGCAAACTGCACTGTGAAGGCAAAGTTGGTTTATCTCTGTTTCCAGAGTTATTTCATTTTACTTTGTTATAAACAACAGACACGTGCAGAAGGGGGGTTTGGGTGTTTAAGCACCTTCCCTTTTTCCTCTCGGAGGGAAAATTCCCCTTAAAATGAAATTGCCCCCTACTTTGTGCACAAATCCCCTATCTGCAAAACTGCCCGAAGCTCTTCAGATTCATGATCAACCCATGCCCCAATCATTAAACAGATTAGTTAATAAGCACCAGTTTTGCCTTCAAATTGTCTTATTAAAATGAACAACCGACTTTCTGTGGTAAAGTAATAGCCCTGCTGAGGAACAGATGATCTTTGCAGCACAGAATGATGAGAGATTATGTAAAAGTCCCATGAAATCTGACATAACCGTTCACATTGCAGTCGCGTTTCAAAACATCAGGTCTGTGACTGATTTATTACTACTGTACATATGAAAGTGGTACAAATCAGAACTGAAAAGACCAGATTCCATACGGTTTGGGCTGTTCACACTGTCATTACCTGAGTCACATGTGGTCAAACTAAACAGATTCAGGCCACATTTGGCTTCAGTGTGAACGCAGCCAAAGACTCTGCGTGACACAAATTTTTTATATCTTTCAATCATCTGTTCTTCTGTGACCAATTGTCAAGGCTGTGAAAATAATTAAATTAAAGTTATAATAAAGTGTAACGTGTTCAAACATAATAAAGTGATTGCATGTCAAAAGACGCAAAACAAGGCATTTCTGTTTAGATATCGTTATCGATTTTTTGAAACGTCACCGTTTTTGATGAATAGACTTTTAAATGAATGACAGAAATATCTCATGAAATATAACTTGTGAAATGAAATGTATTTATTAAAGCTCTGAACATTAACTTAGTCTAATTAGTTGAGCTGTGCCTTTAAGCCAAGACCATCTGAATCAGACTGAACTCAGATTAGTTCATTGTTATATTAGAGCGAATTGTCTGATGTTTTTCAGTCTCAGAGGAAAAACATAATGTTTTACTTCACTAATAAACTTTCAAATGAGCAAATATTAGTTTGTAAACCTGTATGGCATTGACTAGTTAGTCTCTTAGAGAGTTTTTATTTCATTTTAGCTTTTTGTAACAGTACTGTAATGCTATAATTAATTATATGTATATAGGGCATTGTTTGACACACAAGGCTTAATGCATTTAAAAGTGTCCAAAAGGGCTGTTTGTGTTTGTCCGTGAGCTTGAAATATCAGTATCATATTGGACTTAAATTATTCTTACAAACACTAATGATGTGTGCTATATGTATGCATGAATTACAATCATCATCTTGGGTAATATATTGTGGATTATATATTTATTGCCTGGCCCTTGTAACCTCTGCAACCTAAGAAAGAAAAAGAAGAAAGAAATCAGAAAGCTAAATCACATATAAGCAATTTCCTCATTACCAGGCTATGTTTTCACCTCAAACAGCGACATTTTGAAAAGGTGTACATTTTTCTTATTGGAATTGTCATGTCTAAAAACATGCACACACTATGAGACGATAACTTGAAAATAAGTTTTCAAGGTAAACTGCGATTTGGAAAAGTAAAGGTTTTAAAACTGCTAAGATTTTCCTTTTATACCGTTCCTAATGTATGTGTAAGATTTGTTTAAAAAAAAAAAATAAAAAAATAACTATTTTGGAGCAGTAATCACAATACCGTGAAACCGTGATATTTTTATCCAAGGTTATCATGCTGTCAGAATCTTATACCGGCCCATGCCTAATACACACACACACACACACACACACACACACACACACACACACACACACACACACACACACACACACACACACACACACACACACACACACACACACACACACACTTATAAATGATCTATTGGCTCCAAAAAAATCAGTATCTGTTTTGAATCTTTGTCAGAATAATAAATAACATTTTTTGTTTTCAGTTTTCGCTGTTCTTCATTGTTGTCTTTGTTCTGTTCTTGTTAAGCAGAACACAAAAATCAATCATTAAAAAAGGATGCTGAATGACTTGTTGAAGTGCACTATTTATCTGGAACATCTTCTTATTTTTTGTTTTAGTAAATTTTTGCCAGCTAATTTGTAGTAATTGGGCATTTGTAATAATTGAACAGGCGAGCCTCTTTGTGTAGTTTGGTTTGTCAATTCTAGAAGCTCTTAATCTCAAATTTGGCAAGTGACTGTCACATATTGGCATGATTATTTGCTGGCTTCTTCAAAATGAAAAACCTTTCAAACCAATAAAAGAAGTTTGAGGATGATAATCAATACTTGTTGGGAAACCATATTTATCTTCTTTATGTAAGCCACAAACCATAATTCTCAGTGATTTTTATTTATTAATGTATTATTTTTATTTTAAGATATCTTAAGTTGCCTATGCTTTATTGACCTTATTCAGCAATGCTGAAGTGTGCTCATTTTAGAACTTCCAATACAATTTCCTTTGGGAGAAATGGTTAGGAATAATACATGTCAGACAACAATCAAACTACTTGCTCTACAAACAAATGTGTTCATGACAATATATAAAGTGTAATAATATAATTTTGAAAATATCAGTTTGCAGCATCAAGCAGCACAACAAGCTGTTTTCAACGTCTAAAAATCAATGTGAATGAGACTCCAATTGAGATTACAATGACTCTGTCTGCTCGTACATGAAGGATAAGGTCAATAAACATGTAATTCATCGTTTTAAGTGATGAGGAGGGATTTAAAGGATGAGGAGTTCTTTTTAAGGCAAGTGTTCTATGCAGCCATCTTGATGCCTCTCCTAGGCATCTATTTCCAGTCATTCAATTGACCAATCTCCAGTCCACTTCAATGTAAAAAACAAAAACACTTGGGCAAAGGTGCTTATCTAGCTGCACAATATGTCGTCTCAGCATTGATATTACAATGTCTGCATCCGCAATAGCAAGATATACAATATTGAATTGGGATTATAGTTGACCAGAATCCACAAGTCAAAACATGGGATTTGTGGAGATGCTGCAGAATTTAACCATTATCATGAAAGTTTGTATTTTTAAAGCAAATCTGAGCGTTTTTAGGAGTTTGAAACATTTTCAGAGAACATAAAAAGCTTAACGAAGTTTAATAAAGATTAATTTTATGGAATTATTTATATGATGAAGACTGCAATGCTCTTTTTACATTTGATGATTCAATTCCTGTACCTGAATACTCTTAGAAGCTCCCCATCAAACCATTAAGCACCGTTTATTTCACAACATTTGCTCCATTATGTTTATTTATTTATTCATGACTGTAGTTTGTTAATTGTAATAAATTACATAACATATATTTATATTTCACTTTCATACAAAGTCATCCCAATCAATTTAAAGTATTGACTTTCCTAATAGAGCTATCATTAAGTCATCTGGTGAAATTGTCTTTTTATCACATTATAAATTGCAGGGAAAAAAAATATCTCAATGTCCAATTTTTCCAATATCGTGCATCCCTATTTGCTAATGTTCTAATATGCTCCCCCCCCCCCCCCCCTTTCTTTTTTTCTGACAGGGTAGTTTGAGGAGCAGCAGTCAGATCTCTCCTCAGGAGTTTCTGAGTGAACTAAAAAGCGGTGCCACCGATGAGAGACTGTTTGCCTGTCTGGACTCCCTCAGAGTGTCACTCACCAGCAACCCAGTCAGGTACTCACTTAAAAGAGTCTTTTTTTTGTGGCATTTAATTTCTTCTATAACAAAAGTCAACTTTTCATGCACAAAACGTCTCCTGTTTCTCCCTGGCTCATGTCATTTAAAAGGATATTTGTGCTATTATTTTGTCTGTGGAAAGGCTGAAAAAACACTTTTCTTCTGGAGGGCATCCGTAAACTCTTTCTCACATCTCAAACTTGACTAGCCCGCTTGATATTGCTGTTCACTGAATGCTCACACATACAAACATCCAACCTGGCCACCTACCACATCTGACCTCCGACATTTGCCCAATGGTGTGCAACTCAGTGGCGCACCCTGTGATTTGAGGCTAGAGCAGCGCAGCATGATGGCATTCATTAATATGTATTACCGATTGCCACGTCGCCCCAGGTTTTTCCCTCCTACCTCTTAATTGTTTGATACCGTTTGCGACGAGCTCTCCTGCTGTTTCTCCTGCATTTGTACAGCAAACATGACAAAGAAGCCTCCCCAGGAGGGTGAAGATGATAAACAATTTTTGAATTTTATTTTTATTTTTTAGGCTTTATTTTTAAGTCTTTTTGTGACCATTAAAGGTGCTGTATGTACAGTTTTGACTCTTCTAAAGCAAAATAACACTATAAAATGTTTGCAGATATTAAAGACACATGCCAACTGAACATTCTTGTTTATTTGAAAAACAACACTGAAGTCAGATATTCTGCTTTGAAAATGTACTTTATGTGCCTGAACCTCTGTTTTTGTTTTGGTTCTTTTAACCCACCCACTGCCACTTTGGCCAATTATATTTCAGCACTCAGGGTTGCCTTGTTGGAAAACCCATATTTCATTAATTCAGTCAGAAAGGCTCTCAAAGCACGAGTCCATGACTGAAATGTGACCTCCGGTGGACAGTAGTAGACTCTGAAATAAGACCAGGGTGTCCACAGGTTCTTAAAGTATTAAAAGTTGATAAATCAATGTAAAGAAATTTAAGGCCCTTGAAAAGTATAAAAATGTCATAAATGCTATTTTGCAAGGTGTTAAATGTTATATAGTTTTTGATTATGTAATGTATGGTTGTATAGTTTAATCCTACTAGATTGCTAGATTGTGACGCTGCTTTTTTACTGCAGTAACCAAAGCAACACCATTATTTCTGTAGTTCTATATGTGCCAACCTGCTGAATTAGCTAGATTTAATAGATTTTATTTTGTATATGAATATTTTCTAGTTTTTGATTAGTTTCTTACATGAATGTTTAGTAAGTTAAAATCTTGCCAGTGTTTCCGGTTGAAACCTAAAGTGGTTATAAGGTCTTAATGTATTGAAAGAGTCTCAAATAAGATCCGAAAAGGTATTAAATTTCACTTTCTGATTCCTGTATATACACTGGAGATGCAGATTCAGCGTTTTATATGATGTTATTTTTAGCAAATAATATAAAAATTATGAACGTAAACATTGTAAACGTAAACAACACCCTACGTGATAAGATTTGCAGTGATAATCAATTTGGGTGTTTGCACCTGATGAAACACGACAGAAATTTAAATTCAGCCATTCAGAAAACGGTTCAGGTTTATAACCTAATTAATACATATTAAACCTCCTTAACATTAAATGTAGATGCTGAATCAATTATATGTGTTGGTTTGCACTGAGTCACAGTTCTAAAGTTCAATTTCAAACTGTTTATATTTTATTTTCAAGATCTGAGGTAAACTATCTGCTGCTGCTTTTAGTAGTATGGCAATAAATGTTATGTGAAATGTCATTCAAACACATCGTTAGCATTTAACACTGAATAAAGCATATGAGGTGTACACGAGGTGATTTTTGTCAAAGTTTTCTGTCATTCAGCTGAAAAAAATTAGCAGCCTTTTCAATAATATTTATTTCAGGTGTTGATTAGGACAAACTCCTTTTATTATGCAAATATTCTTTCTATCCCATGCTGTTTTGTTTTTGTAGAACACTGCTTACAGTAAATCAGCTTTTAGGCTCGATAGTCAGACACACTCCTGTTGGTCCTCTATCTGGCAACCTGCGTTTGCGTGTGTTTTGATCCAGAAATTCATTACCTAGTTTAACCACTGGGAGTCAAACTTACATACTGCACCTTTAAATCTATTCTATTTTCACAGCATAGTTTAACATGCAGTTTGCACAAGCTGATGCCGGGCTGCAGGCGACGTTTGGAAGTGCACAATGACAGGAGATAAAGGTTGATATGAGAGGAAGGGCTCATTTTATTCTGAGTGTTATGACTGTTGATGTCATTCTGTTGTCCTTGGGTATATTTTTTTGTTTTGTATTATACTGGCTTTTATAGTTTTTGCCGACTGAGCTTTTTGTTGGAAGAACTCATTGAAGCCTGTGCATTTAAAAAAAAAAAAAAAAGTCACTAAACAAAGTTTTTTAGCCGTGCATTGCTTGAGGGTGTAAAATCATTTGCTTTGTAATCGGAGCACAGACTTCTAACAAGACATTGTCTAATTCGTTAGAGAATGTGACCCATAAGTGCATTGCTTTAGGACACTCATTTCATCCAGTGTCCTTTTCATCTGAAACATTTTTCCTAATTCCGATCACCAAAAATCGAATAGATAAGTGGGTTAGAGAGCCCAGTGTGTGCGTGCAGATAAAGTTATTACAGGCGGTTAAAGTTAATTTGACGGGCCGCGCTAAGCAGTGTGTCCAATTTCAAAGTCTATGGATGGGAAAAATAAACCTCATCTGCGGTGATGAAGGAGGAGAGCGAGGGAGAGACAAAAGCACGTTCGAGCAGGAGAGTCGGTGTTAAACTGTTTTCATCAGCGCTGCATTCTTTATTGGCATAATTCATGAAATGTCATGATTTCTATTAGCGCCCCGAACGTCGTTCTGGCGCATGCAGCTGTTGGTTATGGCCGTGAACGTCACAGGCGGAATGATCCACAATCGCGCAGCAATGGCCGACCTTGCGTGGAGAGTCTCGCCTGAACATTATTCACACCTGGCACCTTATCATTTGTTCCTGTGCAAGGTTAAAACTTCCCCAAACAATTCAATCTTTTTTTAATTCGAGTTTTTGGCATTGTCTAGCTACACTGTGACACGAAGCTGTTTTATTTGGCTGTGCTGTTGAAAGCTCGCAGTGCTCTGTTTTTATAGGTCACTGTCGTGTTGTGGGATGATTAAAGCCAAGGTAAGCATGAGGAGGCAAAGACTTAAGTAAATGTTGATTGGTTGTTGCAAGGTTAATTTAGTGCAAATGCTCAGTCAAGTGGAAATTAGGGCTGGAAAAATCTGACATTGCTTTGTTTTCTTCAATTTATAGTGCAGTATACAGTACATAGGGCTGGGTGAAATGGCTAAAATGCAATGTCTAGTTATTTTCCATATTGAATGATAACGATGTAGATTTTGATATCAGTCGTCAATGCTTCCAGATTTAAGAGTATTTCTACAACGACTGAAGCTACAAAGATTAGAGGGTCTATTAAATTAAATTCAGTTAAATTCGTGTTTGTTTATATACCGCTTTTACAATGTAGATTGTGTCAAAGCAGCTTAACATAGAAGTTCCATTGAAGTCCAGATTTCAGACTTGAAGTTAAGTTCAGTTCAGTGTGGTTTAAATTTTACTGTTGAAAGTTTAAACAATAAAGAGCAAATCTATCAATGCACAGCTCCACAAGTCGCGATCCACCAGTGGCAACAGTGGTGAGGAAAATTTTTACTAATTGACAAAGTTAATAGAAAGAAAAAAAGAAAAAACCTTGTGAGAAACAGGCTCTGTTGGGTGTGACTTTTATTCTTTTGGTCACCTCCTGTGTGGAGCAGCAGTCTAGGTGCCGGAGGCTGGATAAGCTTGAATGTCCATCGTGGAGAACTGCAAGTGTGAGTAGGACACTAGGAGGTAGTCAGGCTGGCCCACAGGATCAATGCCGGGATTCGTTTGTCACTATGGTCTTTCAGGAATCAGTCTCATGCACTCCAGTCTTTCATGACCACCACAGCATCAGCTCAGGATACGGCCTGGTCCAGGATTATGGATACCTTGGCATCATTTCTTCACAGGTCTTGGCTCGCATCAATGGCGCTGCATAGTCTCTAGGGACCTCGGGATGAGTATCTCCAGGTAGAAATAGAAAAAAAATTATAATAACTAACGTAGTGGCTGTTCATAGTGTATAACAATGGCATAATACATTTTGGTGGCCGAAAATTCAGTATGATTCTCTAATATCAACACACTTTTAGATTCCTATTGTTCCAATTTCTGATTTGTGATTGGCTCTTAGATCAATAAAGAGTAAAAATTCCAGAGATTATCATTGTTATTGACATACATTTGATGATGATTTGATATATTGTTTATCGGCCTAGCCCTAGGTAAACTGTAGTCAACATTTGAAATGGATCAGAGAAGAACGGGTGTCAAATAGTTTGATGAAAGGTGATGATCCACTTTAGATGTTGACTGCTGTTTATACAAATACACCAGATAAGAGAATCATGCATAAAATGTAATGAACATATTGCATTCATTCATTCATTCAATCATTTTCCTTCGGCTTTGTCCCTTATTCATCAATGCTTGCCACAGCAGAATGAACCGCCAACTAATCCAGCACATGTTTTATGCAGCAGATGCCCTTCCAGCCGCAACCTAAAACTAGGAAACACCCACACGCACTCATTCACACACTACAGCCAATTTAGTTCATCCAATTGACCTATAGCATAAGTCTTTGGACTGGGGGAAACCGGATATCCTGAAGTAAAACTACGCAAACAGGGGAGAATATAAAAACTCCACACGGAAAAGCCAACTGGTCCAGCAAAGACTCGAACCAGCGACCTTCTTGTTGTGATACAACAGTTAAAACCCCTTAGCCACCATGCTGCCGAACATATTACAAGTATGGGTAAATACAGTAGAAAAAAACAACTTTACTGTATAAATCATTCAATAAAATATTTCTTAAAATGTATTTAATAACTCTTTATTAAAATTGCTGAT